TTGGAAAATTATTCAACTGCAACAAAGAATATTTATATCTTGATTTTGTTTTAGATTAAAACATGAAGATCAATCCTTTGAACGTAGTCAATTTATTATTAGCATATTTTCAAAGCTTACAAATACCAGATAGCAAGATTAGTTTCAAAGAAACTAAATTGTCAGAAAAGTTGAAAGAAATATTAATAGATGCAGTGTATAAGTTTAATGATATTGATATGATTGTTGGAGAGACGTTAGACTTTTATGAAGATTATAAAGATACTGATGATAAAATAATCGAAGATGAAGCTCAACATCACTTTCCTGATCCTGATTTTGCACCAACAAATCAGTGCACAAATAATGATGAAGAAATCACATTTGATTATAAACAAAGAGCCGTAGAATTTAGGAGGAGCGGAAAAAACAAAAACTTAAAACTAGATACTGTACAACATAGATTCAAAAAAGTTTCATCTATAAGTTAACTTAAACGTTGGGCGAAAACAATTAATAAAAATGAAACTTTCCGAGAAAAAATTGCGCAAATTTGCCAATACACATTTGATAATTTAAAAGCCGCTATTGCAGCTGGTACGATGCATGATCGAGATATACGGAAATGGGCTGTAACGAGTCCATCTGCTCGGCTTCTGCAACGGCGGCGCGGCATGAGAAATCGCGAACTGGTCGGATACACGCAGTCACCTTACTCGCAACTCACGCGGGTCCTGCTCCTGTTGATGGGCGCTACAACACCATAAACGCTGCGCCTTTTTCTCCTTCTGATTTTTGCTTGCTACATGTAGTCCCCGTTGTCGTGGGTAAAGGGTCGCCCGGAGTCAGCGACTTGGCGGCTGTTTGTCGCACGTGTTATTTATGTTGCTTGCGGAGAAGAGAACGACGCGAGGCAATCGAATGGGTGAAATTCACAGCATGCAGTTCAATTTGACAAAATAGAAAGAAGCATTTATGGTATTTCGCGGCTCACATGGGGTTTTCTAGGCCCCGCCACATTTATTTTAGATAAATCAAAGTAAATGATAATAACTGAGCTCATGCTCATACAAAAGAAATAAGCGGAGTCGGCTTTTATGCTTGCCGCTCGACCTAATACAATGCGCAGTTTTCATCTGCTCTCTTTGTGTCGCGACTTCCTCGCATCTTACTAAAGTACAGTATTACTCACGCAGCTTCGCTTTTACCGCTGTGTCCCGCTGGCGAAGATGTTCTCGCGGTCGGTCAATTTCCACTCTTTCGGAATTGCTCGAACGCTCGCCGGACGAAAATCGGGTCTCTCAGTTCATGTTCGCTCGTCCGTGGTCAGGCCCCAACCATCCGCACGAGATCAGAAGTTAGCGCCGACGACCGACACTTCCCTCACTCGCGGCTCTAGCCGAAAACGTATACGCACTTACAGTGCGTATGCCCTTTCGGCGCTCTCTCACCTCGCGCTCGCGACTACTTGCACCTGTGTGCGTGTCCTCACGACTCTCTTTCTCTCGAATGTTGGCTCTGCGAGCCTATGTATGTGAGCGGTCGAGATACCGCGTCACAGGGCATTGCAAGCTCAAAAAATTGTTGGCCATGAAGATATAAAATTTAAGGCTTCTCAAAATTGGTTACTAAAATTTAAAAAAGCTCATAGAATAGTATCTAGAAAAATAAATAAATTTATCACCAAAAAAACATTAGAAAGTAAAGAAGAACTACAAACTAATGCTGATGCTTTTGTAGCTGATGTTAAATCATGTATACCATGAATCGGCATTACAAACTTTTATAATTCAGATCAGAGTAGTTTCCAATTAGAAATGCACTCAGGAAGAACATTAGCAGTTGAAGGAAAAAAGCAGGTGCAATGTCTGGTACAGTCGGTTTCATCGACAACGCACAGTTATACAATTCAGCCAACTATATCAGCAACCGGGAAACTTTTATCACCACTTTTTATAGTATTAAAAGAAAAAAGTGGTCAATTCGGTCCCATAGTGGAATCTTCATTATTTAGACCAGAAAATGTACATGTGGAAGTATCTAAATCTGGAAAATTAACAACAAATTAGTATATTTTTGTTTATTATAATGCAATGACATAAAAAAATGTTGACATTTTTTTATTTTAGATCAAATATATATTTGCTTGAACGAAGTTTTTTACACAAATGTTGGACCTCAATCTGTACTTTTACTCGACTCTTGGAGTGGACATTGCGATAAAGCTGTAAGGGAAACGATGCCGACAAACAAAATTGTTAATATAAAAAAAATTCCCACAGGAACGACAGGGAACATCCAACCACTCGATGTTTATGGATTTCGTATCTAGAAAAACTTTGTTCGATGTTTATCAGATCAAGTAATTTTGATAGACTATGTAATGAATCTACATTTAAGAAATAATATCATAAAAATGCAGTCTCTTGTCCATAACCAGTTTTCTTCACCAAGATATACAAATATTTTTGAATACGCTTGGTATAAAAGCGGCTACATTGCTGAAAAACCAGCTAAAACAGATAACCCTGTTGATTTTAGTTTTGGAGATTCTTGCAATATACATTGCGAAGTAGAGCATGTAAAAATGTTGCTATAATACGGTGTTGTTGGTGTAAAAGATTAATGATCTTTTACATAATTTTTCAAACACTTTTTCGATGATTATCATTTCTGTAAGGAATTCGTTGAATGATACATTTTAATTCACCAATAAATAAAAAAAAGAAAAAGATGAAAATTATTATGAAAAATCAAAATATATGTAGTATCGCGTACGATGGCTCTTACGTAAATATATTTATGTATCTACATACGAATATAAATATATATGTTGTAACGGGGGTGGTTATCTAAAAATGGAAAATTTATCTGAGAAGAAACTCCCACGATGCAGAGCTAACCGCCACTCCGTTAAACACGTATGATAGTACGTGTATTCGTCTTTACGTCAGATGATTATGCTAATTGTCTTCTATCGAACAGAGTTGAACTCACCTTAAGTCACGTGCCTTGTGACGCTCGATGAATCTTAGGTGTGGGCGACTTTACGCCTAATCCGCTTAATCCCCTAGATGTAATCGGATTAAAATCTAAGCCTTTTATAATTATTTAAGCTAATGGGAAAATTTAATGACGTAATTGGCGAATAAATTTGACTGACTTTAATTAATAAAAAATAACTACAGTCTTTGTTGGGCCGAAAGTCTAATGCACGCGAATAGGATTTTACAATGAATAATATTCGGTGAGAGAGAGAGAGAGAGAGAAGATTCGAATTTTAACCACAAACTAACGCTCGGCGCGAATACAAAAAAAATATCGCTATTACGATTGACAAAATACTAAATGTATTTTGTCACGCGATAATAAAGGGAGGTGCACCTACCCTGCGGTGCAATTACGGTGATCAGCCGTAATTGTTGATGATGATGAATCAACTGCCGCTGCCCTCCTAATTATCAGCTGCGCTGCCTCGATCTGTCTCAATATAACTTTGATACTGCTTCTGTACTGCTGCTATTAACTGTCGCGGAAATACCGTTGCACTCACGCACGTAATTGTCAAAACACAAATCGGCGGTAAACTCGCGTGATCAGCTGAGGCTTAACTGCTTATTCAAAAGATCGCGCGCCCCCTCTCTATCTCTTAATCGTTCGAACTAACGCACGAGAAGCAGAGTCGTGAACGGATCGATTAATTGAATCGACTACCGTTGCAATGTATAGATCTATAAATGATAATTAGACCTCGTGTTATTCTCGTGTTAATTTTTAAGAGATATATCGCGCCATTTTGGTACTATTGAAATAAAATGTATTAAACATATTTTTATTTGTCATAAATTATGTTTGAGCTACAGATATATTTTATCACAAAAAAATGGGATACCCCACATACGGTGTAGAAATCAATTATTTTAAGAAAAAGCAACTATAAACTCAATTCTCCCAAAGTTAGGTTTATTAGCCTACATTTGGTTGGGTAAGGATGGTTTATGGGGGTTTGGTGGGTTAGAGGCAAGTTGGTTAGTTGAGGTAGCTCGGTCAGGCGTAGGATTAAATTATTTCAGGAAATAACAAACGACTTAACTCGTGTTTCCCAGGGTTAGGAGGTTTAGCCTGCTTGTGTTTCAGTAAGGGTGTTTTATAAGGGTGGGGGTTAGATAGGTTAGGGCTAGGTGGATAAGAGGTATGTTATACAGCTGGGATAATTCGCTTATGGTGTAAAATTCAATTATTTCAAGAAATAACAAACGACTAAAGTTGCTTTTTACAGGATTAGGTAGGTTAGCCTGCATGTGGTTCGATAAGGGTGGTTTATGGGGATTTGGTGGGTTAGAGGCAGGTTGGTTAGTTGAGGTAGCTCGCTCATGCATAGGATTAAATTATTTCAAGAAATAACAAACGACTAAATTTGTTTATCCCAGGGTTAGGTGGATTAACCTGCTGATAGTTTGACGGGGGTGGTTTCTAGGGGGTGAAACACCCCTTAAACATTTTTTTTTAAATCCGGAAACACATCAATTTAATTTTGGTATTTTCTCATTATTAGTGCGATTTTTAAATCACTCGAGCTGATTTACTATATTTCAAGTCGTAAAACAGTACGAAAAATAGTACATTTACCCCTATTAAAAAGGGGGTTGCAACTCTTCGGGATAAATGTTATGTCCTTAAAAGTGCCTTTTTATGAGAAATTTTTTAATGTTGAGTTTACTGAAAAATATTCATTTTATGCTGAGAAATATTAAAAAAACTGATTTTAGGGGTTGATTTTCAGGGTGGATTTCACCCCTTAAAAGCCCTTATGGGCCGATAAAAAAACACGTATCTAATTTTTTTTCAAGTACTACAACATATCCTAAAATCATTCAAATCGGTGAGGTCGGGTTGGGGTGGTTCCCTTGTTAGTGTACCTTTATAGCGTTCCCCATAAACGTAGTTCTTGAAGTAACAATAACAATAACAACAATAATGAATTTAATAAGTATTGATAATATAAATAAGATTTCAATTACCAAATCTACCATGATGAAGTCATCATTAGTACTAATTACTGAGCAACTGCTTCTTCTTGATTCATTATGAGAATTATATTTAACTGTAGTAACGTCATGACATTGTTCATTGCTATTATTGGTATCGATAACACTTTGTGATGTAACAGTCGTCACTGCAATTTGATCGGGATCAAATGTGGCAGAAGGAAGTGTTACTGTGGATGGCAAAATTTGGTGCACTCCTAAAAGAGAACTAAATGGAACATCTAAATGAAAACCATCTTCATTCATAGAAATTTGTTTATTGACAACAAAAGCTCCCACTTTAACTATATCACTGAAAAATGTTGAATTTCCGCCACTGAAAAAACATTCCGTTAATTAAAATTTTAAATAAAATAATTTAGAAATTTATAAAACTTATTTATCATTCATTATTACTTCTTTTGATATCTAGTATGTTTTGGACTCAAATCTGAATGAAAATGGTCACTTTTCAGCATTATGGAATCGCGGCTATTTTGAGTTGGTGAAATAGTCATCTTTGTTCGATAAGATACTGATAAGTGAATCATACCAATTGGTGTACAAAGATATCCAACTCTTACATGTTTGTAATTTTCACCTGTTAAAATATGCACAAAAATTATTCTCATAAGAAATATTAAAATTAAATTACCTGACGAAATTTAACTTAACGACATAATTATTTTTATTTAAACCAATAAGGAGTTATAAATAATCAGCAAGACTATATAACGGGGATTTAGCTCATCGATTAAGCGTTTGTCACGTTTAACCTGTTAACCGAGCGGGACGTATAAATACGTCCAAAGTAAACAACAATAAGTACGGGTAGGACATATGAATACGTCCTCGATATTTGTATTGCGCCCTGGAATGGGCGGGAAGTATATTTTAATACTACTATGGTAATACGTCATTCATACACGTCTTAGTGGAAAAGGACGCGCCCGTTATATGTTGCGTAATTAGAAAGGGATTTCTCCGGTTAACAGGTTAAATTATGAAGTTTTTGACAAACAATACTACTAACTAGATATAGTACAAAGTTTCAGCTCGATTCATTAAGTCGTTTTTTTGTGAGCGTTGGTTGAACAAAAAGTTATTGGTTTATTTGAAAAACGGAAAAAACAGAGTTTCGAGCGGTGATAAAACATTTTCATTTGAAAGGCCTTACACCAAAAGAAATCATAGTTGAGTTGAACGCCGTTCATGGCAAATCTAACCCTGTGTTTAAGACAAAGAAGGAAAAGACAGTAAAGTCAGCTGGCAAGATTATGGCCACGGTTTTCTGGGATGCGTATGGAATCATCTACATCGACTACTTGAAAAAGGGTCAGATGATCACTGGACAATATTGTGCGTCATTATTAGGTTATCTGAAAGAAAAAATCAGAGAAAAACGTCCTCACTTGAACAAAAAAAATGCCTCTTTCTTCAAGACAATACTCGAGTTTACATATGTGCAGTTTCGATGGCAAAAATTAACGATTTAAAGTTCGAATTAATTGACCATCCACCATATTCGCCTGATTTGACTCCCAGTGACTTTTTCTTATTTCCTAACCTCAAAAAATGGCTTGCCGGACAACGATTCACGTCGAATGAAAAAGTCATCGCCGAAACAAATGCCTATTTTGAGGGTTTTCAGAAATCATATTTTACTGATGGCTTAAAAAAACTGGAAGGCCGTTTAATAAAATGTATCGACCTTCAAGGAGATTATGTTGAAAAATAAAAAAAAATTACATACGCAAAGCTTTTTTTTCCTTCTTTTTGTAAAGACTTATTGACCCCCCCCCCCCCTCTTATACAGGGTGAACCATTTTAATCGAGGTGGGTAATTATTTCGCTCCAGAAGCATGATAGCGAAAAATACTTCGGATAAAAGTTTTAGGGTTTGGAGGGGGACAGCCGATGGTGACCTCCAACTTGATCTTGAACTAAAGTTTCAAGATTATTTGAAGGTCAATTTTGTTTTTTTAAATGGAAACCCCTATTTTTTATCTCGGATTCGGATAGAGTGGGAAATTTTACATTCAAATCATGTAATATGTTGTAACGGGGTAAAACCGTTTAATTATTATATTCGCGCGATTACATTAAAAAGACACGCGAAATTGTCAATGCTCACTACTTATCCGGGAGAGCACGAGAAAGTATGCGTCAGTCAACCAGTAATCTTTAATAACCTATACTAAATTGAGTGGAAGCTATGTGAGATGAGAGAATCAATGAAAACACTTGTTAGTAATGTAAATTGGATCTTTTATTATCCCTCAAAATTCACAAAAGGTCGGCCCGCGCGTTTGTTTACATGCACGCTCGCTCGTCGACAACACGCTTTGTCGGTACGCTCGCTGCTCTTTGTTATTAGAGCCGTTACATGCACGCATCGAATGTTAGAATCAAATTATTATTCGTATATTCGCGATCGCGAAATTAAGCTGGCCAGCTTACCTTATAATTGCAGGCGATCGGAGAACAACACGAATACCTCGCACAGAGCGGAACTGTTTTTATTGTTTCTTACGCGGCTCGCGAATGCGCGCACGGAGTGGTTTCGCCCTCGATGGCGAAACCTCACACACACGTACACTGCTTGGCCTTAAGCTGGTGTCCGGATGGCTCCTTGGAGGCAGCTGTCACGGCTATCTGGCACTCTCAATTATCAGCTGATCTGGCGTATCGTTGATAAGAGCACGCGAATTGGCGATTGCGATAGCGAAAGAGGACGGACACTAGGTTGGTCTAGGCTTCACTGGTTCAAATTCGGTCGCGCGCGTTCCGTCTGCTCGCGTGCCGAATTCCTTCGTTACCTATTCTGTCCCCCCAGCAGGTGCTGCCCTCACAGGCAGCAATTAAGCTAAATAGTCAGCGCTAATTTGACGTTTACCGTCACAATGTGTAGGGTCCAAATGTCCCCCACCTTACCCCCAAAGTCATTTCGAGGTCAATCTTACTTTTTAAATGGGACCCCTTATTTTTCGTCGCAGGTTTTAATTCTACGTGAAATTGTACGTTTAGATGACGGGGATATTTATGGGATCCGAGTGACGTCCCATCCCACTCCCAAAGTCATTAGTTTAAACCTGCATTGAAAAATCAGAATTCCAACTGTGAAGATTGTTACAAAGGCTAGAATTCCCAGCTCTGTAGGTAGAACTGTCCATGAGCCCTGGTTATGATTCTCGCTCTCCTTATCTCGGAGAATCTCGCCAGTCATAATCCTGCACCAACGCTTCAACCATTTGCATTTTTTATATATCAACCATAAACGGTTACCCATAGCCACTCAAAATTTTGGCCAAAACTTTATTAAAAACATATTATAGTAAAGTCCAAAACCATTAGTTGATCTTTACTATAAACGTATTCTTAGATGTTCTAAGATAGAAAATAGAAAATTTGAAAAGTTTTTGTTTTACTTTTATTCAGTTAGCTTTTACTAATATAAAAGCTTTGCTTGCTTCTTGTCATAATTTCGATTTCTTTTGGTTGGTCTTTCCCGGATAATAGCGGATGCGAGAACTAACTAAAGTTGTCAATCTACCTAGCCACCTTGTCGATCAGATGAGAGAGCTGTACTGAACTGCATGGATGTCTTCATACGTTTATAAAAAGATTGATGGAACATCTCAATAAAAGCTTCTACAACTGTGCTGAATTTGTCTAGTTTTTGGGTCTCAATCGACTCCAAATTCTAATTGATTTGAAAACAATCTCTGAAGTCTACTTGCATGAAAGTTTTACTTTTATTGAAAGATGTATATGAGGAATGAGAGCAAAAAAGAAAAAAAAATAGAATATTTCTCTATATTTTTGCTTTCTTTGCTTCCGCGCAAATCCCAGGTGGAGAATCAAACAATTGGAGAGTAGTGGGTACAGTGTTGTGTTTCAGAGTAGTGACGGGAAGAAACCTAGTGTGCGTTCGTTGACAGCTCGATTGCCTGATAAAGCGGACTGAAGCACTAGCATACTATCTTGCAGAGACTCAGTTCAATGCCCAGCTACACGACGACGTATGGAGCTTTTGGTACTGGATGATGGCTGATAATCGTGCGCGGGATCAATTATTTGCCATCATTGACGAACTTGAACTGCTCGTCCATGAGTTGCCACCTGATTTTCATGGTACACTCTTTTAAGTAGCTGTCGCCATGTTTCGAGCCTTGGGTTTTGGCAGAAACCATGACCTCCCTGCAATCATCAACATACGCATTTAGAATCCTTCACCATCGGATGTTCTCACCTAGCAGCATCAATCTAATGGTTCAAATTTTCAAGTTTTCAGTCGAAATTCCTTTACTTTTGTGGTCGATTCACCGTTTATTCGAGACTGGATACTCCGTTGTTTTGATAGGTTAAAGGATCATACAGCTCAATCGATCTTTGGCTGCGATAGAAATGCATGCGTCTATGTTCGTCCTATCTAGCCCAAACAGGTTTTCGACCTTCTTACAAAGGCGAGAATTACCAGTGCTGACCTAGGCGATGCTTAGCCTGTCGTCAGAAATCTCTATGTACGAGGGTCGTTTGAAAAGTCCGTGCAAAAATAAAAACTGCTTGATTTTTGTTAATAAATCTTTTTTATTTTTCAACATAGCCTCCTTTTAGGCTTATACACTTCATCCAACGCTGCTCTAGTTTGATAATCCCTTCCAAATAATAGGATTTGTCCAAGTCTGTAAAATTGGCATTCGTTTCTGCAATCACCTCCTCGTTTGAATAAAATCTTTTCCCCGCCAGCCATTTTTTCATATTAGGGAACAAATAGTAGTCCGACGGAGCCAAGTCTGGAGAATAGGGGGGATGCGAAACGAGTTGGAACCCTATCTCCATCAGTTTTGCGGCCACAACTGCTGAGGCGTGAGCTGGCGCATTGTCGTGGTGGAAGAGAACTTTTTTGTGGGCCAATCGTGGGCGTTTCTCTAGCAACTCAGTTTTCAAACGATCCAATAACGATGAATAATATTCGCTTGTAATGGTTTTACCCTTTTCCAGATAGTCGATGAAGATTATTCCTTGCGTATCCCAAAAGACAGTCGCCATAACCTTCCCGGCCGAAGGAATTGTCTTCGCCTTTTTCGGAGCAGATTTTCTCTTGGTAACCCATTGTTTAGACTGTTCTTTGGTCTCAGGAGTGTAGTGATGTATCCATGTTCCATGTACAGTGATGAAACGACGATTAAAGTCTTGCGGATTTTGCTGGAACAGCAAAGAAACCATTCTTACAACACTTCACACGATCTCGTTTTTGGTCAATCGTGAGCAATCGCGGCACCCATCTAGCGAATAGCTTTTTCATGTCCAAATGTTGGTACAAAATATTATGTACCCGTTCGCTCGAGATGACTACAGTACTAGCAATCTCACGCACCTTCACTCTTCTGTCAGCCATCACCATATCATGGATTTTATCAATGATTTCTGAAGTGGTAACCTCAACAGGGCGTCCACAACGTTCAGCGTCTTTTGTGCTCATATGGCCACTCTGAAAATTTTGAAACCACTTATAAACCATTCTCATCGAAGGTGCACAATCACCATAATGTTTATCAAGCTTCTGTTTAATCTCCTGAGGCGTTTTGCCTTTGAAAA